TCTTTCTTTCTTTCTTTCTTTCTTTCTTTCTTTCTTTCTTTCTTTCTTTCTTTCTTTCTTTTTTTCTTTTTCTTTCCTTCTTTCTTTCTTTCTTTCTTCTTTCTTTTTAAGATTATTTATTTGAGAGAGAGAGAGAGTGCACATGGCAAGGAGAGGCAGAGAGTCTTAAGCAGACTGCAGCTGAGCATGGAGCCCAACACAGGGCTTGATCTCCTGATGCTGAGATCACAACCTGAGCCAAAGCCAAGAGTCAGATGCTTAACTGACTGCAGCACCCAGGTGCCCCCATATCACCACGTCCTTTGACATCACCATCACAAATAATTGCCCGATGGCTAGCGTTGGTCCAGAGCTGAACAGCAGGTGGAGCTGAGCCTCTTGAGATGGGTACAGAAATTGCTTCTCAACAGCTTTGAAGAGCTAGAGCTTGTAACAATGAAAAGGATAGGGCAAAGAAAATGAGTGTTGAGGGGTAGGCTGTACCAACACAAGGGGTCTGATACCAGTTGTCCTGGTGACAGGGAGTTAAATTCTGGCCCACACTCCCCTTTTATTTGGGTTCATTTGGGTTTCAATTGTGTATGACATTCCTTCTCCTTTGTAAATACCAAATAAACCATATATACTGGTATTCCCCATTCTCCCTAGTACATTGTCTCTTCTCTCTTCCAAACCTCTCATCCTTATCCACTCAGCAAACACCTGTTGTACTCAGTCAAACTCAAGTTCTCAGTCTGCTCCGTAGCACAAGACTGGAATCACATTCCCAATAACCATTCAAGATGTTCACTGTGACCACACAACGTGCACAGACTTAAACTCATCTTTTTCTCACACAAATCTATTCTGTTTCCTCATCACCCATTAATAATAATACCTGGGAGTCATCTTTCATAATTTTCTTCTAAGTTTCCCATTAACTGAATCTCATAAACATACTTCTCTGATGATACTTCTCTCATCAGCATGCTTTCACTACCACCACCACTGCCTTCCTTCAGACTTGGAGATGTTTATAACCTCTTTGAAACAGACTAGTGCAACGTTTGACCCATCCCCCAGTCGTCCCACACTTTGCTGTCAGAATCTCTGTCAACACCTTAGACATGATCCTTTCACCATTTTAACCAAAAGTCACTCATGGCTGTCGGTGAATGACTGCCAAGATGAACTTTCTGAGTTCAAGGGATTATGTATTCCACTCCATTTGTCTTTCCCACACCAAATTCCTACTACGACCCCAGGCACAAATCTGTTCCAACCACAGAGACCCACTGGCCAGTCCTTTGAAAAGGCAAGGAAGAAACTTTCTCAGAGGCAAATCTTTCTACTCTAAGACCAGATCTGGGATTAACCCAGTATGTCAGAACTGGTCAGGAGCATCAAACTCAAGTTCTTTACAGTAAGCAGGGTTTATCAAGGATATCAAGGGTGGCCACTCCCTGATTGAACAAAAATTGCAAAGCACAAAAATCAGTGAGTTATAGGCAGGAAGGAAGAAAAAGAGCTAAAATAATCCCTGGACTTTGGCTAGGTTGTGTGGAGTGTTATAAAGAGACTTCAGAATCTGATATTAGAAAAATAGGAAGGAGAGAACCAAAATGGTTGTGAGCAATCTGGGAAGCTCTCCTAGAAAGGTGGAGAAGGGGCAAGTTAAAAGGAGTTAAAATTTGGGGGGGAAGAGAGACCATGTGTAAACAGAGATTTTCTGCTCCTAGCAACAATGAACCTCCCTATACTTAGAGTTCAGTAGTCTTCATTATGGTCTGATTTCACCAGCATGAATTTTGAGTGACCTTGGGAGAGAACATGACACCAAAGGAAGGTTGATTAAACACAAGTCCTATTTTCAAGGGCCTGAGTTGAGCTCGGAGCTCTGGAGTCACACAACAATTGCTACCTGATGATGCAGTGATGAGGTCACAAGTGGGGCTCCCCTTTTCCCCCCACCCTTGGCTTCCTCAGAGCTAGGCAGAGGAACCAGAAGGAAAATCCACCTTCTCACACACAGCAATACCATCCACCTCACTCGACTACTTGTCAAGTTCACTACCAACACAAAGGGGTGAGTTGCATTTGGACAACTGCAAATGCCCCATCTTTTCCCTCTCCTTTCCTAAGAGTGACTTAAAGCACCCCAGACATTGAACAGGGTTGAGATGATGGCTATTTTTTTTAATTTTATTTTTTATAAACATATATTTTTATCCCCAGGGGTACAGGTCTGTGAATCGCCAGGTTTACACACTTCACAGCACTCACAAGAGCACATACCCTTCCCCATGTCCATAATCCCCCCCCCCCAACCCCCCTCCCCCCATTAACCCTCAGTTTGTTTTGTGAGATTAAGAGTCACTTATGGTTTGTCTCCCTCCCGATCCCATCTTGTTTCATTTACTCTTCTCCTACCCCCTTAACCCACCATGTTGCATCTCCTCTCCCTCATATCAGGGAGATCATATGATAGTTGTCTTTCTCCGATTGACTTATTTCGCTAAGCATGATACCTTCTAGTTCCATCCACGGCATCGCAAATGGCAAGATTTCATTTCTTTTGATGGCTGCATAGTATTCCATTATGTATATATACCACATCTTCTTTATCCATTCGTCTGTTGATGGACATCTAGGTTCTTTCCATAGTTTGGCTATTGTAGACATTGCTGCTATAAACATTCGGGTGCACGTGCCCCTTTGGATCACTACGTTTGTATCTTTAGGGTAAATACCCAGCAGTGCAATTGCTGGGTCATAGGGTAGTTCTATTTTCAACATTTTGAGGAACCTCCATGCTGTTTTCCAGAGTGGTTGCACCAGCTTGCATTCCCACCAACAGTGTAGGAGGGTTCCCCTTTCTCCGCATCCTCGCCAGCATCTGTCATTTCCTGACTTGTTAATTTTAGCCATTCTGACTGGTGTGAGGTGGTATCTCATTGTGGTTTTGATTTGTATTTCCCTGATGCCGAGTGATGTGGAGCACTTTTTCATGCGTCTGTTGGCCATCTGGATGTCTTCTTTGCAGAAATGTCTGTTCATGTCCTCTGCCCATTTCTTGATTGGATTATTTGTTCTTTGGGTGTTGAGTTTGCTAAGTTCTTCATAGATTTTGGACACTAGCCCTTTAGATGATGGCTATTTTTGAATGAAAGCATCCCTTCATTTTCAGAAGCAAGAACTGGGCTATGCCTCATTTGAAATAGAGATTCTTAACAAATTTCGAGTTTAACTTAATTATCTCTCCAGAGAGCCATATTGCTTTCAAAACTAAATTAGATAAATGTATACTTTTATATCGTTAAAGGAAATCAAAGGAGTGTCAAATTAGATACAGCTTACAAGTATTGTCAGGGACTGAAAAGCCCTGCTCATATCTAGAAGTCAAATCATCCATAGAAGACCTAACTCAGGGCAAAACTTAACAGAGGAGGAAAAAAATTCTTCCTTAAAATTATATTATCTGGCTCTCAAATTCATATTTTCAGAAGAATTAGAATTTCCCTGTTCATCTCCTCCTTTCCTGAGTTCTTCACTTCCCCTAATCATGGGGAGGAGTCACAGAGTGGCCTGTGGGAGTCCAGCCATGGTAGAGATTCAGTTTCTTTCCATCCCCAGTTTTCAAGTGAAGAAAGCAATTCTCAAGGCTTTGAGGGCTTAGGGAAGACACAGTAATGAAAGAAGTGTCCTGAGTCTCTAAACCTGGTAACATACCTTCTCATTCCATCTCCAGAGGGTTAGAGTAGTAGCCCTGCAGGAATTGTTTCAAACCCTTGTTGTGCCATGAGTGCTTTTAGCAGTTTGACCAAATTCATGACTTCAGAATAATGTACTTAAATTAATTACTTAAAAGACATGGAGTTATAAAAGATGCCACTTATATTGATAACATATGATTAAATATGGTTTTATCATGGGGTGGGGTTAGTTCCAGGACCCTAGGTTGAAAACTCCTGCTGAGGAATATGGAATTGAGACAAGGTAAGTGAACAAAAAGCAGGGTAAGGGTGAAGAGACCAAGAAATGTTGTCACCAATGACTCCAAGGACAGAAGGACAGCCCTTAAATGAGAATTTGGTCTAGAGCCCGAACCATCCCAGGAAAGTTTTTCATAAAAGCAAGGATGAGCAGGAGGTGTGAGTGGGAAGCCTCCTGGTCCTCTTGCAGTGTGGTCTCCCACATATGACCTGTTGCATATTTCTTTACAGGACCCAGAAAATCAAAAAAGAATGTCGAGTGATGATAAAAATAAATCTAGTGAACCTAAGAATGAGCCCAAGAACTGTGATCCCAGGTGTGAACAAAAGTGTGAAGCCAAATGCCAGCCCAGCTGTTTAAAAAAGCTGCTGCAACGGTGCTCTGAAAAGTGCCCACGGGAAAAGTGCCCAACACCACAAAAGTGTCCACCGTGCCCCCCACCATGTCCCCCACCGTGTCCTCCTCCATGCCCAGCTCCCTTCCCCTCCAAGTCCTCTTCCAAGCCCTGTCCTCCTAAATGCCCATCTCCCTGCCCACCCCCAGAGTGAGGCACCAAGGGTACCACTCATTCCAGAACCTCCAACATCTCTACCATGTTCACCATCTTATCCTGAAAGCTGAAGCCATGAACTGACAAGTAAACGTGTTCCTCTGCTGCACAAGTCTTTCTTCTCCTGTTTTGCTTTGTTTTGACAGTTTGGGGTTTTGTTGTTGTTGTTGTTTTCCAGCACTAAACCACCAAGAAGCAATCCCTAGAGAGTGAGGCTAAAACCCTGACATTCTACAATCAACGGTTTTTGAAGACAGCCTCCCCTCTGGCCCTACTGCTGCATATAGGAATGTGGCATCTCCTGAGGGGTGCATCCAGGGCCTTCAGACTGAGAGAGCCATAAATATGGCTGTTAACAATGGTTCATCTCAGGAGCCCAAGCCGCCATGACAGAGGAATAAGGCAAAAGGGGAAAAGAAGAGTGGGATATAGAGGAAAGGTCCAGTCTGGAAAGGCTCAGGAAAAATTCTGCCCTCAGCTATTAATCCCACTGCATAATTCTTGTGCAGAACACTCTGAAAACAGGCTGTGTGGGCTTCAACTCTAGCTCTGTTCTAAGCTATGGTTTCCTGCTCTCTGTAAAAGGAATGCTGATGTTAACAGTGGGCTTATAGGGTCTTGTCATGAGGCATAGGAGGTAATGTGTGTCCAGAGCCTGATATACTGGGACATAGCCAGCACTCAAAGAGGGGAACACACAGCACCTGCCCAGGTTTCACATGTCACCCCTGAACATAATTGCCCTGTGCCTTTCTTCCTCATCAGGTACAATATTTAGGTTCTAACTTATACCTATAAGCACAGCTAGGCACTCTTTCCAAAAATTAAAAAAAAAAACAAACAGTACTACCTGGGTGGCTCAGTCATTTGAGCCTCTGACTCTTGGTTTCAGCTTTGTGATCTCAGCATCATGAGATTGAGCCCAATGTCGTCAGGCTCTGTACTCAATGAGGGGTATCTGTTTGAGATTTCTCTCCCTCTCCTCCCTCTGCCCCTCCCCCACTCATGTTCACACTCTCTAAAAAATAAATCTTTTTTTTTTTTTTAGATTTTATTTATTTGACAGCCAGAGATCACAAGCAGGCAGAGAGGCAGGTGGTGGGTGGGGTGGGGGTGGGGAGAAGCAGGCTCCCTGCTGAGCAGAAAGCCCGATGTGGGGTTCTATCCTAGGACCCTGAAATCACAACCTGACCCAAAGGCAGAGGCTCAACGCACTGAGCCACGTAGGCGCCCCTCTAAAAAATAAATCTTAAAAAAAATAAAAACAAAGTTGAAGTTGTGAATTACACTAATGTCAGCAGGCTGGTTTGGATACTGAGCCATAACTATATAACAAGTCACCATGGAGAGAATTCCAGTGAAGGGTGCGTGGGATCTCTATTAGGGAAACATCCTGAGAATCTACAAAATTTCAAAAGGAAAGCTTTACATAAAAAAAAGGATAAATTCGAAAGCACCTCAATTAGGAATGAATGGGAAAAATATTCACAGCTGCTATGTTAAGTGGGGATTATTTACAAGTGGCTAGGGAAAGCCCACATCAACCTTGCTCAATTCACAAAAGGGAATATATCAGTTCACTTTGCTGGGAAGGGTATTAGAATAGGAAGAGGGCATAGAAATAGAACTGTAGGAAATGGGGTGTTAGGGCCTGGGAATGTGGTCACCATTTCAATCTCCCTCATCTCCACCAGTCTCTACTCCTCTTCAGGGTGGGTCTCCTTCCCTCCTAGGACCCCCTCCATGTGGTAAGGTCTTTGGCCAAGTGCAGACCCAGTTTGTTGATGAGTTGAGCTTGAGATGCTCCTATTACTTCTGGGAAAGAAACCTGATTGCCCAGGAGTACCCTGTGGCCACGTGGATAAGAGAGCTTTGCCACACAGACCAAACTAGTTTGTCATCACAACCCACAACATTCAAGTGGAACTAGGTTTAGGATTCTCTGTTATCACAGTAAGGGGAAATGAGAGAGGCCAAAGCTAGGGAGGCTCCCTATGGAATCATGGCACACAAACAGCTTTCCATCCTTCTGAGTCTAGAAGCTGGTACAGGACCACAAAGGTGCAGTAAAAATAGATAGTCCAAAATGTGCTCAAGACATCTGGGACCCCCACCAGACCAAGTCATATAATTAGGTAGTTGCAGAAGCAGATTTTTGGGACATGAGTGCTAAGACAAGTCTTTAAGGCATGCAATCCCTCCTTTTCCAGATGTGAAGATTACTACCTTCTCTGACGTGAAGAGGCCTTAGTGTCCCCCAAGCCCTGCAGAGAGGTGCCTCCTGGATACTGGGAACTTCTGGATAGCCTAGTTTAGGACATTAGGGTCCTGTAGTCAACTGTTGATAAAAGATGGACAACTCTTGAACCTCAGTAGAAATCATGAGTAAGGGTGGGAGAAAAGATGGAGAAGGAAAGAGAGAGAGAAGAAATAGCACTATAATGTGACAGCATCTTCCATCTATTTAATGATCACTTTTAAATAATAAAGCTGAAAATCCCAGTGCTACAGTGTGTCACTGTTGAGAGCATAAAGAGACAAAAATCATTTTAGGGAATAATTTGAGAAATATGGAAATATGTATCAAAAGTATAAAATGGTTTAATCCTTGGACCCAGTTGTTCCATGTCTTGGAATCTGTGCAAAGAAAAATAATTCCAAAATGGAAAAAAAGAAAAGCTATGTAAAAAGCTAATTATAACAGTGTGATTTAGAAATAATTTAAATATCTAATAGAAATTTGATCAAATACACTTTATTACTTGATGAAACTTTATGTAATTATTAAAATGTATTAAAGGGGGGGAAGCAAGGTCCCAATTGGATATATAGCATAAAAGCAATTATGTTTAACCAAAAACTTCTATGAATGTTGACGATGATGATAGAAGGAAGTTTGTCAATATTCTAGTTATTTTATGACAATGGAGTTATGGTTAACCAATAGAGAATTTTTATTTTCACTAGTCTTTGGATTTTCATAAATAAACTTTTATTTCTCATGTAATAGAAAAATATATATAATCATAAATACTTCAGAAACCTACCAAAGTCCTTTCATTTGCTTAGTGAACTAACTAACTAAATAATAAATAAATGAAAGGAAAAGAAAGAAGAACCACTTCCTACACCTGAGTGCACACCTTGGTTGCCTTCTTTTGAGGGATAGGGTCTCAGTCCCAGGCGTTCAGTGGCTCTGTGGCAGTGTGGGTTAGGGGCTGGTGCTCTCCTGGTTGGCTTTGAGGACACTGGGCACAGACTGGGTGGAGGCCATCTCTGAGAACATGAAACCATCCATTTGCCAATTTAGTTCTCTTTTCTCCCATGTAAATGAAACCAAAGATACACATCTCTTAATGGCTACTTTCCCAGCAAAAGGCTGGATCAAAGGCAATGCCAGAGAAGATGGCTGGAACGTGATGAGTGTGCTACCTTCCTGCAGAATGCCATAATTACTCCTAGCCCCAGTGGCAGTCACTGGAGCCCTGCCCCAAATGGTAGAGAGCTGTATAAATAAATAAGCAACATCTGAAGAGTGGCACCATGAGAACCCTTAAGGTGTTAGTCTTGATGGCTCACAGATACTGTGATAGTGCAGGACCAAGCCTCTCCTGTCATGGAAAAGCTGTAAGAAGAGACTCCACCACAGACCGCCTTGGATGATGGTTTCTTGAGAAGCAGGCAGAGGACTTGGATGTCCTCCCAGACCAGGCCAGCTGAGGGCGGTGCTGTGAGCTGGCCAGTGCTATATGAAAGGGCTGGCACGCAATCACAAGGATGCCTTGCTTTGAAGCTCTGAAGCTGGAAGGAACCATAGAGCTCACTTTTATGTGTCCCCCACATGCAAGTGCCAGCTGGGGAGATGGCCTCAAGGAGCCAGTTACTGAACCTGTCTTATTTCCATGTCTTGCTTTCACATGACCAAATATTCCAGCCAGGGACATGAGCACAGGCACATCCTGGGAGGCTTTATTGACGATGACAAGTCATAACTGCTTTTGTGCCACAGCTGTTGATGCTCAGCAAAGAAATAGGTGGGTAAATACAGTAAGTCAATTGCCAAACATATAAAGATGCTAAGATACAAATTGATTGTAAAATGCATAACAGGGTATTTTCAGATGTACCACGTGCATAAAACCTGTGATGCCTTACCTACAGAGCTCTATGCTCTCTCACAGGCTCGAGGGAAATGATGCCCAGACTGAGGATTTGTGCTTTTCCCACCAGAAATACCCCCATAGATTCTCACCTACACCACGCAGAACCTCCAAACTAGCTTCTGAGGTTCTAAGTTTTCCTTCTAGTCCTTCCTCCAGTATAAGGCAGTCAAGACAGACTGGCTAAAATCTAAATCTAAACATATCACTCCCTTGCTTAAAGCCTTAAAAGGTTCCCTTTTTCCTAAACAACAGCTTGAATGACTTGACAAGTCACACAAAAGTCTTCCAGCACTGCCCCCACCTCCTTTGTTGGCTTTACCTCGCTACTTCTCTCTCCTAGAACTGTGCAGCCTAGCAACAGGTAAATGCTGGCACTTCCTGGCATGACAGAGAGTTTCTGGCCTGTGTGATTTTACACTTGTCTGTCCCCTGCATTCTTTTTCCATTGAGTCCTCCTCTGAATGGTCCACTTGAGCAGATCTTCGTCTCCCTCAGAACCCAACTTAAGGGTCACCTGCTTGAGGAAGCTCCCCCACTGCCTCCTGCAGGCTGGTCAGAGCCTGCAGGAGCATTTTTGTGACCTCAAAGCATCTATGCATTTCTCCTGCAATGCTTATCCCACCATATTCTGTCCATCTGTTTATACTGGGCTGTTCGTGACAATTAATAACAATAAAAGAGTGCGTGTTCAGTGGCTTTGGATGCACTTTTTCTAAAGTGGAAGGGATCGCTCTGGGCTGAGGCCCTGGTTACTATGTTGCTTACCCTCACCACAAGTGTCATTTCCAGAATTCAGAGGTAGGAGAGGGGTACAGGGCTGGCTATGGCAGGCCTGTGGCTGAGAAGAAGGCATCCCTGGAATTGGTCACTTTTCCTTATGTTACAAGACGCAGATCCTGCCAGCCTTCCTCCAGCCTCACCTGGGAAGTATAGCCTGTCTTTGAGCAGA